GACCGTGCCTTCAGCTCCCCTCTCGACTCTCTACCCCCTCCTCGCTCCATCCCTTCCCTCCTCTCATCCTGACCATTTCCCCCCTGCTCGGGTCCTGACCCAACTGTACAGCGCCTTGGGGCATCCTCCCGACGTGAAATGCGCTCTATAAATGGAATCTTGTTGTTGTTGTTGTTGTTGTATTATTTGAGATGTGTTAGGTGCTATCAAGTGATATGTGTTTCTCTTTCCCATGTGGCTTCTGAGTGAGTCTTTCAAGCTTAATTTTGTTTTGCTGTAAACTCCTGGGATGGAACAGAAAAATTGTTGGTTTCAGCTCGGTGTCTTTGTGAGTTTAAATTCTCTTCACTTTTTGTGTCTAAAGTATTGGATTATTTACAGAGTTATGGAATCAAACCCCATGTTGGAACTTTGAGCCTTGTTTTAGTTAATACAGTACTTGGTAGATTATATTGTTAGATGTGCTGTCCTTTGCATGAGATGTTGAACAGTCTGCCTAATCAAGTGGAAATTAAAGATCCCTAAGGTATCTTGTCTAAACTCACTAGGTAAAATTGATCAATCACTTCATGACTGTCTGTGGGCTGCTGCTATCCTACTATAACTTGCACACTGTATGTGTTACAGTAATTCTTGTGAAGTGTTTTGAGATGTTTACCTGACGTGAAAGGAGATATATTTTTTTAAATATATCTTTGTGTCTGCAGTCTAAGCTGATGCTTAATGGTAATGTATTTCAGCTATGGTTTTGCTTCTCACAGTTCTGCCCTTAAACCAGAATATCTCAACAGTTGAGGACAATTCCAGCCCAGTTTATCTCAAATTGACCTTTTGTGCAACAGTACAAATTGAATCCTTTTGATGGCATGCTATGTTTGCATAAGTTTTTTCCTGCTGATTGAAAAACTCATTGCTTAATCCCCCTGACAAATTGGTATTTCTGGGATCAAGTGGGCTATGTTTGTCCTCAACTTGTGAAACTGTTTCCATGTCAAACACTTAATGATGTGAGACTGGGGGAGATTTGGGATGGGCTGCTGAAAATCTCCTTCGAAGGCAGGAATGGTGGACTATTAAGCATTTCACCAAGCGGTGTTAAAAGACAGAAAAAACATTAAACGGTCAGAGTGCGTGGGGAGTGAGAGGTGGTTCTAGGAGCGGCTATCTGTCACTGGACCTAGTGGCCGAGATAATTATAATAATCCTTGCATTTGATATAGCGTCTTATCATGACATTGAGATATCTCAAAGCGCTTCAAAGAATCTACTGTAAAGTGAATTGATTGTATATTTTGGGGGTGAAACGAAGCAGCAGTTAATTGCACACAGGATGGCAAGGGTGAGTGGGCAGCGTCACCAGCCTGGCTCAAGTTGGTGGCACTGTCACCTCTGAGTCAGAAGGCTGTGTATTAACAATAAACAATAATCCTTCATTTGGTATAGGCTATATCACATCAGGATGTCTTAAAGTGCTTCACAGGATTTTACTGTGAAATGGAGTGATTGTATTTGTAGGCAAACGTGACAGCACACTAATATATCACAAACAGCCAAGGAAAGAGTGACCAATTTTATTTGGGGGATTGTTGGCCAGGAGAAACTCCCTTCTCTTTTTAATATCTAGTTGAACAGGCAGGCAGGACCTCAGTTTAACATCTCATTCAAAGGAAAGCACCTCCCCCCCACCAGCACTGCACTGGAATCTCAGTTTAGATTATGTGTTTTAGGCGAAGATCACACTTGGTTCGGATGAAAACCTCTCAGAAGATTGCTGTGGAAGATAAGGCTGAGTTAGGACTTTGCCCCCCCCCCATCTGATCTCAACGACTTCCCTACCATTCTGTCATCACATTAAGTAAAGGTAAACTTTATTTTTTTAATGTACGTTCTAATTTCTGTTGCGGCTCTGAAGATCTGCTGAAACAATCCTGTTGCTGTTGCCAGTTTTACGGCAATGCCATTTAATCTGGAAGTTATAGCTTTTTCCTCAGAACCTGTGGATCTTCTTGGTACATGAGACCTTGAAACAGCTAGAAATTGTTTATCAGGTGCCATCAAAGGATCTGGTGTAACAAGTAATTAAAGATCTCAAAATAAGAGAATTGTTTCTGGAGTGAAGCCTGGTCCATTCATCTGAAAACTGTCTATTTCTTCCCCCACTACTCCCTCCCCCTTTCTCCTCACGCCCACTCTCCCACTCCTTCCCCATCTGTAGGCAGGCAGAAAGTAGCATGATTTAGCATTGATCATCTGATTCTTTCCCAGTCTTGTTGTCCAAAGATCTCAAGTTACAAATGGTCCTTACATTTTTTTGGTCAAGCAAGTGTAGCAATACAGAAATACTCATCACCAAGCGTGAGTATCAAAACTAGAGTTCACCATGTATGCTACCTAGACATGGAAATATCCCTATCTGGAATATTGCTTACCTGAAACCGGGCAGTATTGAGCTCAGGTTGCAAGGGGTTGAAAACATACAGGAGTTTAGGCAGCTAAAACAGCATGGTTTGCTATTCGCAGCACTGTCTGGCAAACTTCCTGTTGCCTGTGCAACTCGGACTGTATACATTGACTTTGGTTTGCAGGATTGATGAAGTTGAGTAGGCAGACCCTCCCCCACCGCTCAGTACCTGGGTTGCATTTAATATAGCACTTTTCCTATCAATATTTCAAAGAACTTTCCAGAGAATTTCTCTCAAGTGCTGTGACTGTATATTGTAGGCATACTGCATGGACCAAAAACAATAATAAATTGGTCATTTTTAATCTACGACTGTTTGTGGGACATTGCTGTGTGCAATTGGCTGCTGCGTTCGCCCACAAATATACAGTCAATTCACTTTACAGTGTGTTCTGTGAAGCGCTTTGGGACGTCCTCCCGACATGAAAAGCGCTGTATCAAATGCAAGGATTGTTATTATTATTATTATTATGGACAGACTTTGCAAACTAACCATGTCCCAAGGCCATGAAATGAAGTTGCATCAATAACAGCTTGCATTTTTGTAGCATCTTTTACAAAATATGTATTGGCGTGCTTTATAGAGATGGGGTTAGACAGCAAGTTAAGGGGAGGGGAGGCAAGATAAAATGGGACTTGGATGTGTGTGTGTGGAGGAATATAAGTTGAGTTCTGGAAGACTGGGGCATAGTGACTGGAATCTTGGCCACTGATTGTGACTGGGTGAGTAACTGAGTTTGAGCAGAACAGAGGGAGAGTGCTGGAGCATGAAAGGATTTATGTGAGGCTGAGGACCTTGAAATCTGGCAAGGATTCGGATGATACAGGTGTGAATTGGGGTGGCAGAGTCTTGGATTAGCTGGATCTCATGGATTGTGGAACTGGTTGTGGGTTCTAGCATTATCGCTACAATGCAGCAAGCACTTTACTGAGGCCCACTCCACCTGTACAGGTAGATATTAAAGATTCTGTTGCACAAAGAAAAGAACTTCTCTTTGCTAACAATCCTCCAGATAAAATTGGACGTTCTCTTCATGGTGGTTCAGAGACATTGTTGGCTGCCTACAAATAATCACCATCCTTTATAATGTATTTGTGAAGTGTTTCAAGAGTTCCTCACCATGTGAAAGGTTATAATATCAAATATGATTATCTAATTGTCCTCGTGCACTGCATTTACATCAGAAATTTCTCCTCTTGTTGAGATGTTCAGCCGAAGGAAGAGGAAAAGAGCCTCGTCAAATTGAAGATTTTTAAACATCAAAGGTTTTTGGCTTTGCCTGGATTTCCCTGAAGTTTCAGGTTGAAAGAACATTCTCTTCAAAGAATGTCTGATTAGCTGATTACCTCTATTTGCACACAATTCTCTGTATAAGTCCTATTTAGATGTTTAAACACAGGCGATGGAGAGATAATTGTTTAAATGCTGGTCAATGTGATGTTAAATTCCTGGTGCTGTGTTTGCTGTCTTTAATCCAATTAGGCTCTCAAGGAGACTAAAGGCAGAATACATTCTGCAGATCAGCTGAGACACACTCTTAGGAGGTATTCATTCTTTTCTTGACAATTTGGATTTGGGTCAGTTTGACTCAGAGTATTATCACTTTATCACTATTGTCACTTTATTTTAGGTGAGGAGTGTAAATCTGTTACATTAAGTCTCACAATTCTGTATGCATCTTGGCAGACTGAAAGGTTTAAATAATGATTTCAAATGGGGAGCAAGGGATGAGATTGTTTGAATTCCCTTTTGTCAGATTGGCCTATAAAGCACTTGGAAACATCCTTCTTATGTGCAAGACTTATCAGATGCAAGGATTACCTGAAATTAGAGCACAATAACAACAACAACAAAATATTTTTTTTATATCACCTTTCACGTCGGGAGGACGTCCCAATTACTGGACAGACCTGAGCTGAGGGTTGGGGTGGGGGAGGGCAAGGGGGGAAGCAAGGAGATCGAAAACACGGTCGAAGAGGAGGGTCTTGAGGTGGGTGTTGAAGGTAGCAAGGGAGGGGTCGAGACAGAGGGACAGAGTTCCAGAGCAGCACTAGCAAGTGGACAACTGCACCCAATTTAATATCAATGCTGCTTTTAAACCTGGTGCCAAGATCATGCTTCTTTCTGGATGAATAAATATAACAATATTTGCAATATCAAAGTGCCTAATCACTTTAACGAGAAGTGCGAAGTACAATTCCGCTTCAAACAGGCAATTGCAAGAGAAGCTGCAAACTAATCTACATCATAGGGTGTATGTTATCACCTTTTATTGAGCACTGGTTATAGTGTAAGCCATCCCAGGCTCATTACTGATAAAGTGTGATAAGCCACACAAATGTTCATTCATTGGCTAGTGAGCCATAAGGATTGTGCAGGATCAGCAAATATCATTTAGTTCAGGTAAAACAGTTTTTAACAGCTGCTGGGAGAAAGGCTACGGGAACGAAAGCTGTTGCAAATCAGTTAGGCCATCCAGAATCAAAGCAAAAACTTGCTAGAAAACTAAAATTAATGAGAGTTGAAAGGGTTTGGCATTTGTTCTTTGAGATTATCTCATGAAAATGAGCAGCACTGAAGCTCTCAAGGGTGCAACCAAGCCCCTGCTGCCTTACTCGGTGGAAGAAATTCTGCGGAAACCTTGTCATGAAGCTTGGGACTGGACCAGGAAAAGTGGGTGCCGCAATGAGGTAATGGCCCATCTACAACAAAAGGAGCTGTGTTCCTGCAGCTCACCAGGTGAGTCCCAAAGGTTATATGTGAGATGGCAGTAGTCAGCAGACCACAAATTGGTCATGTTTGTGAAATCCACTTCAAAATACTTACTTTGTAATGCTTTCTGGTGTTGGCTTGACTCAGCTGGTAGCACTCATCTGAGTCAGCAGGCTGTTGGTTCAAACCTTACTTCATGATTTTAAATTCACTCTAGGCTAATATTTCAATGCTGTGCTCACAGTTAGACGTACTGTTCTTCAGATACGATGTTAAACCAAGGTCGCCTTGTGTTTGCCTGTTTAAGTGAACGTTAACTATCCCATGGCACTCTTTAGAAAGAGAAGGGAGTTTATCTTGGCAAACGATACACCACCAAATAAAAATTGATTGGTCATTTGATGACCAATTGTGGGTCATTCTGAGTGCAAATTGACGGTTACATTCACCTTTAAACGCAATCGGTGCCCTTTTCGGTAAATTCTGTCTTTAATTCATTCTCGTGCGGTGCAATTTGTTGTTGCACAGTGTCCAACATCCTGAGGCCCTTTGAAGTGATCAGAATATGACCTGTTTTGAAGTTCATATTGGTTTGCAATGTTTCTTCAAAATGTATCTAAAATCTGTTAGCTGATTCATCCCACAATGTCAAGTATGATTCATAGTTTCCACAAGCTTGATCTTCATTACTCGTCTTATCGGAGCTCAGAATTTAAAATTGTGTGAAATGCACTGTCTAATTTTAGATAACTGCAGTGTTATTATAATACTCTTAGGCATATCTCTGCTGAAACATCCATTATACATTGCAAGTGTTTGAAATTATTTCAATTTCCAACTTGACATGACCCTGATATCCTGTATCAATTTTTCATTCAAACAAAATGCAGATCATTCATCTCAGAAGTGCTGTAGCTCAGTGGTTAGAGCACTCGCCTTGCAAGCGAGACACCAGGCAGGGCGAAACCTTGGGCAAGTTTCCTTACTCCACACGCCTAATAATAATCCCTCCAAAACAAAACAATAATAAATTGGTGATTTGCAATCCTCGACTTTGGTGCCGCGTTTCTCCCACAAATATACAGTCAATTCACTTTACAGTCTATTCTGTGAAGCGCTTTGAGATATCGAGAAGACGTGAAAAGCGCTATATCAAATGCAAGGATTATTATTATTATTACTCGGTTTCCTGTGTGTGATTGTTCAGGTGGATGTTGAACATCCCTGTGATATTATTGGAAAAGAGAAGGGAGTCTCTTTCCTGGTGTCCTGGCAAACAATAACCAGATAAAATTAGCATGCATGGGTGTTTACTTTCAGCCACTCCACAGTAAAATTCCTCCAGAAGCGCTAAATATCCCCTCAATGTGAATAGCCAAATATCAAATGCAAGGATTATTATTTCAGATCACCACTGCAAATCAGCCCAGGAGCGACTAAGGGAAGCTTTAAAAACTACAACGAAGCCATCACCACCACCCCCTGGCAATCCTGGAATGAATCTTCAAAGGAGAAGCTTCAGTACTTTGCAAAACCAAGATGAGGAAAACATAAGTGACGACCAAGACTGTCAGGAAGGGTTGAAGGAATATAACTTGACAGAGACCTCCTTAAGTGGTGAGTGCAGTGTCATGTCATGTGAAGTCTTCAACACTGGCGTTTGAGCTCCATGTCAAGACTTTGAACTGGGGGAGCACTGCACTGTCAAAGGTTCCATCCTTAGATGAGAGGTTAAACTGAGATCTTGTTTGCCCATCCTTTGGACTTTCGTGATTCCACGGCACTACTTGCAGAGTTTCTTATGGTCCCAACCAACAATCCTGCAAATAAATCTGGTTGTTCAGTTTGTGGAGCATTGTTGTGCACATACTTGCTCATTTGCCTACATGGAATACCAAGTAAATGCAAGCAAGAATGCCATAATATTATGGTGCTTGCAATTAAAGGATGAGGTTATATGAAATGCTTTTTTCACAATCTGGGTCTGATTATTCTTGACCTAGTCCATTCCACATACAGATGTGAAGTATCCATACATGAAATTGACATCGTAATCCAACCCTGTAACTCCAGTAACGGCAGTATTGCTATATTGTATGCTTGTATTTAATTTTGTCCCTTTTTCATATCTGGCATCTCGAGCTTCACAGGGACTTTCTATGCAATTTTGTGGCTTGAAATGTATGGCTTTTTAATCAAGGGGTTCTTAGCCAGGCTACCACGAGAAGTGAGTTGTGCACAGGATCTTTAATGCCCACCTCTTAACTTCTAAAGGATGCTTCCAACAATACATTGCAACTCCAACACTGGAGTGTCAGTCGAGTCTGAGTCCAGTCCTGACATGAAACCACAACCTGACTCTGAGGTGAGTTACCAAAACAACCAGGCTGTCACTTCTTAGTACTAGAATGGCGATCTCTTGCACCACGCAAGTTCAAATGAACTTCTGTTCTGAAACGTTTGGGCTTGCATTGTAATGTTGGAGAGTTTCAGACTTAGCCTGGCTACAAAGTCACTACACTTCAAGTCCTGTGAAGCATTGTGATGTTTTAATGATGGGAAGGCATTGCATCAAATGCAAATAGTTTTACTTATTTTCCCTCAGATGACAGGAAATCCAAGAGAAGAATGCGAACAACATTTACAGCTGAGCAGTTGTATGAGCTGGAGAAGATCTTCCACATCACTCACTACCCAGACATAAACACACGGGATCAGCTTGCAGCAAAAATTGGCCTCCATGAGACGAGAGTTCAGGTAATAAGTCTCCACTGAGCTTGTACCTTATTCCATCTCCATCTCTCTTCAGGAGAGAGGGGTTTGATTGCTGGTCACACCACCCAGTTGGTCTCTTTTGTACATGGGTATATCAATTTTACATGAAAGGTGCTATACAAATGTTATTTTTTGTTGTTGGATGGTTTGCAAGACTATCCTACACATGCGTAATATGGCCCATGGGCCACAAGTTTGCCATCCCTAAGTTAAAGTGTCAGCCTGGCTCAGTGGTATAACTCATCTCTGAATGGATTCAAGCTGCACATCTGGACTTGGATTTACAAGTCCAGATAACATTCCAAGATAATATTTGCAGGATAACATTCTAATGCAGTGCCGGAGGATGTTGCATTGTTGGATGAGAAGTTAAACCGAGGTCCCACCTGCCTGTTCAGTCAAATATTGAAGATCCCAAGGCACTATTTAAAAAGAGAAGGAATTTTAATTGGTTTTAATAATAAAATTGGTCACTCAGTCCATGGCTGGTTGTGGGACAGTGCTGTGCCACAAATTGGTGTTTCGCCCCCAAAAATGTCAATGCACTTCACGTATCCTGTGAATCACTTTGAGTCATCTCAATGATGTTATAAGATGCTATAAATGCAAGGATTGTTATAAAGATTGAGCAATCAGTGAGAGCTAATTTAATTTGCTTGAAGCCATCTCTTATTGGTCACAATTCATTTCTGCATGTTCTTCTCACCTCAGATTTGATTTTATAAGAGAATCTGAGGGAGTTGAAGAGAAGGGTTTTTGTGTTGGATAGTTTCCAACAGCAGCTTACTGATTTCTCAGAATCGTACTGCTCTATCCCAACAGATTTGGTTCCAAAATCGTCGTGCAAAATGGAGAAAATATGAAAAGCTGGGAAATTTTGGTGGTTTGCAACATCTGACTGAAGTGGATGTGGTCCCTGCTCCCAAATCGGAATTGATGGTGAGTTTTTTTAAGAGTTAATATGCTGGTCCAAATGCAGGTTCTTCTTGTTTCCTCTTTGTGAGCTTGTCTGGAGTTGTTTCTTGGTGGAGGAGGGGTTGCTCTCCAACATCAATGCTCTCAATATCATGCAATGTGGTTTTAGCTAATTAATCTCTAGCAGTTACCATTCAAGGGTTCCCAAGCCTCGTCTCTCACAACTCTGCTTAATAACTCGGGAATTGGATAATTGAGGTGCACCCCTCCAGGCAGTAAGTGCATATTCAATTTTCAAGCACTGAAATTTCCACGATACAGTGGCATATCTCTAGAACTCTTTGGTTTGGATTCTCTTGCAAGCACTGAATTTTACAGCAAAAGTCATTTCAGCTCATTGTTGCCGCTAGCTTTCCGAAATTTCAGCCCCATTTACCTACCCTTTCTCCCCCCCATACCCTTCCAGGTTACTAGGCTGTATAGTGCACTGGTCGGCTTCCATCTACCTGAATAGAATGGAATTCAGTTTTGATTACTGCGCAGACCCTAGAGGCAGTACAGAGGAGAACAATGAGGATGATCCCCAGTGTTGGAATGAGCCATGAACAACAATTCAACAATTTGATAACTGACAGCAGATGACTCCGAGGAGACCTAATGAAACTGTAAATTTTTAAATGGGATTGAAAACGTAAATGAAAACGAAAAGTAGTTTAGAATGCACCAAGGCAGTAAAATAAGAGAGCATAAGTTTACAAGAGCAAAGGGAGATATCAGGGGACATAATAGGAAGTTTTCTTTACCCAGAGGGTAATCAATAGCTGGAACAGGTTACCAAGATGGAGCTATGTATTGGGAATCCGAGATGACTAAGGCATTAGCTTAGACTGCAATTGCGTAGGAATGTACACGATTGAGAAAGGAAAACTGAGGATCAAATCTGGTGCCAGTTTGAGGAAAAGGCCAGAAAGGCTGAGGTCGGAGCTGGAGTTAGCAGAAGCCAAGGATTCCTCGGCTTTCTGTCATTCTGGTCAATGCAGGAAATTTTAGCTCATCTAGCCCTTGCCTGTCTGACAGATAAAACACTGGTATGCACATTGCTGGCGAGTGTTTGATAACTCTACCTTTAGAATTGTGCACCTTTAATTGACTCAAAACTTTCAAAAGCAGCACAAACAAATTGCTCATTTTAATACTCTAAAAGTACACCAGTATGTCTGCAGCATCAATGTCTCTGGACCTATGATATTCCCCATAATAAGGGTTAGAAAATGAATTGTATCATATTAGTTAGCCTGAACCATCCTGATTTCCTGTTGAGGTAGGTTGCACTGGGTTGCACAGATCAATGATAGTCATCAATTTATGATCTTCTGAGGAGATGCCCAGTTTATGCTTGAGAAATTCACATGTTCAGGTTTTTTGAGCAACTCTTGCTGCACATCTCGCTGTAGTATTTATATATTTGAAGGCATTTTCCATGAAAATAGTCATTACACTTTACTCTAAAGTATTTTGAAAGGTCCCACACAAACGCTTGGCTGACCAGTTCATCAGGTCATTGCTGATGTTGATGCTTGTGTGCGATCAATGTGCTAAGTTGGATGTGACGTCAGTAACCTGATGACCCACAAATACCATTAGTACACATGCCAGTTGCATATGCAAATAGAGGTCCACTGCATTACGAATCTGCACTGCCATCAATTGACGTGACCAGCATGTTCTTGTCAGCAATTTTTGTAGGAATGTTTTTTGCAGAAAATGTAGTGTCCACCATGCAGAGCCACTAATTTTTTGTGTATTTTCTTTCAACCAAAGTTGATTTTAAATTCAAATGGATTTTCTTCTCACTCTTTAGGCTTCAAGTATCACAGCAAAGAAGCCACTGGTCAGCCCTCTCCTTTCTGGAGGTCTCCCACTGGCCCCAGAATCTTTGAAATCTGTTCTGACACCATACTTGGCTTTGCCACCAATGCCTCCATTTGCCATGACTAGGCTCCAGCCTTATCTTCTGTGGACACCATCATGTCACCTACCCTTTTCTACTAGGTCAAACTGGGACTTAGCTTGTCTGACACTGAAGAGAGCCAATCCAAGTTAAACAAGATTGCAACATGTTCTGATCTGAACCTTGTATGTCTACTGGGTACAGTGCCCTTCACATCTTGTTGCGTTCTGTATTTAGTGAATTTGTGGTTTGTCAAGGTGTGGCTGTGAGCTGAGATCAGCAACAACAGGCTTCTCAACACTGAAAGTAACATTCAAAACCATTGCTGCCTTTGTACTTTGTTGAACTTCAGCCCTGTCAAGCTCAAACCATGCGATACTGTGAACTGGATTGATTTCTCTATGCAGCTCACTTGGTTGCCATCGGAATCCGATTTTCACACAACCTTCAAAGCAGTTTGTTTGATCTGTTGTTCTGAGCTCCTGATTGTCACCAGAGAGTGAGCATGTTTCACTTCCTTTATTCCACAGGAGGTTAGGCCTTGCCAACCGAAAAGAGCAGAGCTTCAGGAATAGCATTTGTATGTACTATTGGTTGTATTTTCTTGACTAACTTGGATTCTAACCTGGGTATTTGACGAAGGATATTCTGTATATAATAAAAATCTTCAGTCCAGTCTGCTTCAATAGCAAATCTGCCTGGCACAATCATGTCGTAATAGTGGTTCTACAGACTTTTCTACTCCTGTAAATGCTTTTGTGTATACATCTCATGTTGAAGTGTTGATCCACAAATAAATAAACATGATTTCTATATGTGCTATAATATTAATAAAATAATCCTTGTATTTGATATAGCACTTTTCACGTCTTCTAGACGTTTCAAAGCGCTTCACAGAATATGCTGTAAAGTGACTTGACCGTATATTTGTGGGCAAACGCGGCAGCTAATTGAGCACAGCAATGTCCCACAAAAAGTTGTGGATTGAAAATAACCAATTTATTATTGTTTTGGAGGGATTATTATTAGGTGTGTGGAGTAAGGAAACTTGCCCAAGGTTCCACCCTGCCTGGAATTGAACCAAAGTGTCTCGCTTGCAAGGCGAGTGATCTAACCACTGAGCTACAGGACTCCACTGGTTGGGAAAACAACAGGAAGCTTGCCAGGCAGTGTTGTTCAGGGCAAACTATAAGGTTAATTGGTTACATTCTAGCACTCATTCAGAGGTCTGCAAGCCTTGGGGAGTTGCCACCAATCTATATCAAATATTCTCTAGAAACCATAAGCATTGTGTCAGCTTGGCTCAGTAGTAGCACTCTCACCTCTGAAGGTCAGAATATTGAGTGTTCCAAGTCCCATGTCAGGTATTGAACTCACATTATTTAAGATGACATTCCAATGCAGGGCTGGTGTGTCCGAGGTGCCATCTTTCATGAGACTTTAAACTGAGGTGCTGTCTGCCTGTTTGAATGAACGTTACAGATCCCATGCCACTATTCAAAAAAAGAAGGAGGTTTCTCCCAGTGTCCTGGCAAATAAACAGCTATAAAATTGGTGATTCATGTTGTGACTGTCTGTGGAATATTGCTGTGTGCAATTGTGCTGCAGTGTTTGCCTACAAATAGTCACTCCAGTTCATAGTAATTCCTGTAAAGCGGTTTGAGATGTTCTTCCGAAGTGATAAGGAGCAATAATCCTTACCAAATGCAAGGAGTATTGTATTCCTCCAGGGGAAAAAGTGCGCATTCTATTCCACACACAGGAATATTTCCATGTGTAGGTATAATACATGTGTAGACCTTGTGTCTGGATTGGATATTAAGTACAGTGACAGTTTCCAATTGTCAGACACAATGACTCTACCTTTCCTTTATGCACCTGTCAACCATCAGGCCCCCTGTGGTTGACATATCTCAATGATTTCTTTGGCCCCTGCTCTTTTTCTGTTGTTAATTTAAGTGCTCTTTATAGCTGATCTGGAACTGCTTTTTTCCTAATCATCAGAGGGATGAGTTAAAACAGAAGATAGTGAGGAAAACTTTGCACACAGCGATGAAGTGAATGACCAATTTTATTTGGGAGATCATTGGCCAGGAGAAATTTCCCTTCTCTTTTCCAAAAGTGCTATACAACCTTTAACATCCATCTGAACAGACAGGACTTAGTTTAATGTCTCACCTCCGACAATGCAGCATTTCCTTCAGCACTACACTGGAGTGTCAGCCCGCTCTATGAAATCCCAACATGGGGCTTCCACACACAACCTTCTGAAGACAAGATTTCTTCCATATGAGCCATGATAGCTGACACCTGGTCTCTGGAAAAGATGTATACAATGATAGTAGCCTAAACACTCTACAATAATCCATATCCATGTCTTTTCCAGGTTGTGGGCTGAGACTGGCATTACACTGTGCTCAGCAAACCTAAACACAAACGTTTCCTCTTGTGTTCACACATTAACAACAATTGGCTTCAATTTGCCATATTTTTTAAAAACAGGTTAATAATTGACATCAAGTTGATCAAAGGTTCTCACCTATGGCTTTATGGTATCTTTGCCCAACTTTCAGCTGGTCTTTTTCCGTGTTGGTGTGAGAGGAGGGAGGAGGAGGGAATGGAGTGTTTGCATAGCTTTATGAAACAGACTTAATAATAATAATAATAATCCTTGCATTTGGTATAGCGCTTTTCACGTCGGGAGGACGTCCCAAAGCGCTTCACAGAACACACTGTAAAGTGAATTGACTGTATATTTGTGGGCGAACGCGGCAGCCAATTGCGCACAGCAATGTCCCACAAACAGTCGTAGATTGAAAATGACCAATTTATTATTGTTTTTGGTTTTTGGAGGGATTATTATTAGGCTCTGTGTGGAGTAAGGAAACTTGCCTAAGGTTTCGCCCTCTGCCTGGGATTGAACTCAGGTCTCTCACTTGCAAAGCGAGTGCTCTAACCACTGAGCTACAGGACTCAAGTAGTCCATCTAGTCCGTGCTGGTGTTTTGTATTCCTCCTGTTCCCCTCTCTTATAACCCTCTGTTCCCTTCTCCCTCATGTAAACATCAAGTTTCCTTTTAAATACATCGGTGCCATTTGCTTCATCTACACCACCAGAGTGTGAAAAAATTCCTCTTAAAGTCCCTTAGATCTTCTTAGCCCGGCTCAATTCTCAGCACTTTCAAGGATGTTGGTTCAAACACTATCTTGTGATTTTGAACTCATAGTCCAGGTTGAAACTCCAATTGCAGTGGTGGGGGAGTGATACACTGTAAGGTTCTGTCCTTTAAATGAGACATTAAACTGAGATCTCGGCTGTGGCTGTGTGATGTTCAGTGAGGTTACTTGAGAAAAGAACCTCTTGGTCTCATAGTCAACAAGCCCCCACAAAAAATTGGTCATTCACATCATGGCTATTTATGGGCCCTTGCCTTGTGCAAATTGTGTTTGCCAACAAATTACACAGTAAATTTCTGTGAAGCGCTTTGAGACATTTTGACGATGTGATAAGGTGCTATGTAAAACGTAAGGATTGTTATTGAAGATTTATTGGTACCTCTGTTTAAATTCTGCGTCATCCTGTTTGAATTCTGCCTTGATTGCAGGTGCCTTCCCTATTTGTAGCTTGTTTGAGTGTTCTTATCTTGCAGTATGAAAATACCAATAAATTATTGATAAACTCAAGAATTGGCTTTGGAATGAACCTGTTTCAAACACTTATCTAAATTGGTGACTGATATCAATTAGAACCACGAGCAGCATTTCTCTGTGTGACAAGCTATTCGCTGCCCTCAAACTTGAGGCAGGAGAAGAAGCAATTTGTGCTGCATGGTGGAGAGATGAAATCAGGTTCATAACTTCAGATTCACTTCAGATGAATTGGTCTGATCCTTTATGGAGAGAGACACATACATTATTACATTTGATATAATGCCTTACAGGTCAGGTGGATATCTAAATATATTGGAAAGTCTATTGACTGTGTATTTTGTAGGCGATCACAGCAGCTAATTTGTACACAGCAATGTCCCACCAACGCACATGAAGTCAATGATCAGTTTTATCTGAGGTTTTGTTGGCCAGGACATGGTAAGAAACTCCCTTCTCTTTTCCGATCTTTAATCACCTGAATAGGCAGATGGAAACCACCTTTAACTTTCTTCTTGAACAGACTGGCTTAACATGTTGTTGAAAGAACAGCACTCCTGTCAATGGAGCACTTCCCTAACATTGCAGTGGAATGCCAGCTTAGACTACAGAAGTTCAAAGTCCTGGCTAAGGGCTTGAAGCCTCTTCAGACGCAGATGTGAGAATGTGACCGATTGAACGAGTCTGACACTTCCACCTTAATGTTCAAGTGGAGTTGACCACTGAATAAGAAGTACAATGAGAAGGGTGAACAGGAGAAGGTTAGTTCACAGGGTGGTACGAATAGCCATCAGGAATATCTGATGAAGGAAGTTGGCAGCAATGCACAAGTCATTTATTAGATATTTCAATGTGGAGAAATGCGAGGTAATGCATTTTGGTAGAAAGAATGAGGGGAGGCAATATAGGCTGGAAATACAATCTTAAAGGGGGGTAAAAGAACAGAGAGACCTGGGGGTGCCAGTAAATTAATCCTTGAAGGTGGCAGGACAGGTAGATAAGGCTGTAAAAAGGGCATATGGGATACTAGGCTTTATAAATAGGGGAATAGAGAACAAGAGTCAGGAGGTTATGATTAACCTATATAAAACACTGGTTAGGCCTCAGTTAGAATACTGTGCCCAGTTCTGGGCACCACACTATAGGAAGGATGTTAAGGCATTAGAAAGGGTGCAGAGGAGATTTACAAGGATCGTACCAGGAATGAAAGACCTTGATTATGAGGAAAGGCGAGAGAGGCTGGGATTATTCTCATTGGAGCAGAGAAGGTTACGAGGAGACCTAATAGAGGTTTCAAAATCATGAGGGGATTTGATAGAAAGGGAAAAACTGTTTCCACTGGTGGGTGTGTTGGTGACTCGAGGTCACAGATTCAAAATAGTCTCTAAAAGAAGCAGAGGGGAGGCGAGAAGAAATTTTTTCACACAGCGAGTTGTTCAAATCTGGAACACATTGCCTGAAAGGGTGGTGGAGGCCGATTCGATAACTACTTTTAAAAACGCAGTGGACGGGTATTTGAGGAGGACGGGTTTGCAGGGTTATGGGGAAAGGGCTGGGGAGTGGGACTGACATTAATTGCTCTATTCAAAGAGCCGATGGGCCGAATGGCCTCTTTTTGTGTTGTACGATTCTATGAGTCTATGATTATCACAGAGAGGTCTAACCATTATAACACGTTCATTTGCTGCGGTATCTCATCACACAGAAACTTTTCTGATTACTGTATCAATGAGTTATTTCAAAGTTTAATGTGTGCTCTGTGGCTAAACAAGGTACTGAATCTGTGCCAACACCACACAAACGATGAGATTAGTTATCAATTAATATGAACTTATTTTTAGTTTGAATGAGGAAAATTGCCCAATGAAATCTTGGAATTAGTCACAGGACA